CTATATGGCTCGGCTCACATCCCTGTGCTCCTGCAGGCCACGTTTTGCACGGGCACGAGAGCTCATTCATTTGAATGGACTTCTGTGCCCTGGGACATGCAGGAAAGTCCCTGCACTTCTTCGGAAAACACAGCCCACGCGGGAACCTTGGTTCCCAGTACGGTTGCGATTTCCAGTGTGGGCGGCTTGCCATTAGAGCTAATGGCACCCGCCCGCGGGTCCGCATTGCTCTGTGTGGGTGGTGCGGCTGCACAGATTTTTGTGCGGATCCGCAGCGGCACCACCTGCACAGATGTGAACCTAGCCTAAAGGTTTAGTATCTCTTGATACAATCTCATCTTTTATATTTTAACCAAAAATGGGTATTGTGTGTGTTTTTTCTTCTTTTTTTTTTTTTTTTTTTTTTTTTGCACTAAGATTTTTTACATGTATGTGAAAAAATAAAAAAAAATTGCTCTGCGCCAAACTGGTTAAGCATCTGTTCTTCCTGGCCAAAAGTGATTAAATCCTGTAAAATTTAAAGAAAATTAGGTTTTGGCTAAAGTATGTTTTGGGTAGTGTTGCCCAATGCAAAAACAAAGCATTTTTCTTTGTGTAGTTTCAGTTCTCATCAGTGGTCTGTTTTGATATGTCCTGAAAGGGAAAAAAAATACTGCAATCCAGCTATTGTGACAAAACCACTGATGATGCCGTAATGTTGTACAAGATAAGGCAGAACATCACCGCCACACAAAGCAAAGCAGAAACCTCATTTTCACACTCTACTTGTTGCACAATAACGTGATTCTTCAGAGCTGCTAAGGACCCATTTCTCAGGCAGCATCAACCTGCTGCTTTAGTGCAATAAATCGTGCTCTGGTGTTTATGGGCCCTTCAAAGTTTAATCTGAGATTCCAGGTTCAGTGCGCATAATTCTAACTTTTGGAGCTTTTTTTTTTTTTTTTTTTTTTTCTTTGAAGTATTGCAGAAAACATGCCCTTTTTTTTGTATATTTACTTCCTCTTAGATTCGAAATCCCATGCTGCCCACCTGTCCACCTACCACCACTAAGCAGTCCATTTACCATGAATGTTTCTCTGATCTTTTCATAAAATGCAGAAACACTCATGACTCTTACAGATAAGTTGTCACTGCAGAATTTGACCTTTTGGAGCGCTTAGCATGTATAAATATTGTATTGTAAATTTTGACAAGTGGGTAAAACATTTAACTTTTTTCTTTTTAAGCTTGGATGAATCTCATTGCAGGAAGAAATGTTTTAGAGGGTCTGATATGTGAAATCTGTAAATATACAAAATCTCCATTTCTTTCAGCACTGCCGAAGCAGTTCTACAGAAAATGGATGACATGAAGAAGATGCGACGACGGCGTATGCGAGAGCTTGAAGATTTGGGGGAGTTCAATGACACAGAAGAGGTAAAAACTTTTTTTTTTTTTTTTTTTTTTCCTCCTTCTTGCTGCTTTCAAAATGCATACACACTACCTAGCTTATATTGCCAAACTGATAGCCTGGGCATAACTAGATTTATGAATTTAAAATGTGCATGTACAGGACCTAAAATTAAAATTGTAAATGAACTACTGGTAATGTTCCATAATGTGTATTTTGGAGGGAAAGTTTGCTTTGCGACATAGTATTCCATAATAACTATCATAGACTAGGTGGTTTACAGTGAATCCTTCATGATACTGAACTGGAACCAGACATTTAAAGTGATATAAAGGCAATTAAAAAAAGACATGCTTGACTGCTCTGTGTAATGGTTTTGCACAGTTCAGTGGGTCCCCTACCAGTGCTTCTGGCTCCTCTCTCCTGCCAAGTGCCCCCGCAGCAGCCTGCTGGCTATGGTGGCAACCAAGCAGGCTCGCTCCTGACCTGCTGCCCTGTGTCCGTTCACACATAGAGCCCCGGACCGGCGCTGCCCCTTTTCTCTCACTCACTGTGATTGACAGCGGGAGCCAGTGGTTCCCGCTGCTGTCTAAGCGAATGAAGAGCAAGAATCCCCAGAGAGCCTAGGCTCTCGTGCACATCGATGGGTCTCAGGTAAGTATTTGGGAAGGGGCTGCTACACACAGGTTTTTTTTTACCTTGAGCCTTCACAACCACTTTAATTACAGTCATGTAGAGGTGCCTGAATGGGTCCTTGTTTTCTGAGCTTCCTAAAACATAGGGCACTGTAATTCTATGGTGAAACTCTGTTTTTGCAATGGATAACTTTCCAGCGCTAAACAAATTGCTCCTAAAGGAAAAAAGTGTATTTCTCATTTCTCTGACCCCCCCCCCCCCCCGGGTGTCCACAAAAATATAGCTCCTTCAAACATAATACTCTGTGCCAAATAATATCCAATAATTAAAATCGGTGAGTAAATTACTATAATACCCCGTGCTTTGTCACATTAATGAAAAACCCCAGTACCACTAGATGCCACTGGCTGTTTTCTCAGCTAATTGATGACCTATCCATTGTGGGAAGATGCAAACCTCTGCACAGGTTAAAGTGCGCGTGTATGTGTGCATATAATTTGTTATAGCGCATATACAGACAGCACATCCACCAAGATGCACGCTTGTACATTTCATTGGCTTTACTGGTCCAGGACTGCTGGCCTGGTTGGACAGTAGTAGTGTGTGAAAGGGTGGGAATGAGCTTCACAGCGATGACATTTTAATCCGGTTGCTAACCTCCCTTTTGGTGCAGCTCACATTCTTATTTTGTTGTACTGTTTTCAGCTCAGTACAGATCCATTTTAATTTGAACCCTTGCAAAAAAGGAAAACTCATTTATGTAGTGGCTAAGTTCTTCTGATTGTGTGAGCTGTGTGTGGACCCGGAGTCTGTGGTCTGCCCAGTGTTCTTGCTTAATCTTACATTTCATGTGTTGCCTTGTAAACCGTTTCATATGTTTGGTATGAATTATATCAGATAGCTGTGAGGGTGCACAACCACTAGTTCCAAGTTCACCTAAAAAATCCATTTATACGGTATATTGTGTTTCTTGCTCCATAGGACAATATTGATATGTATTCTCGTGTGAAGAGAGAAAACGTCGAAATTCCCAGCTTGATGAGGAGACCACAGACAACCAGGAGGAAAGTGGAGGTATGTTTACCTGCCTTTTGATCTGTTTAGAAGAGCCACAGAGATGCTAAATTGGACAAAGTGCTGTACTAGTAGAGAGAGCACTTATTTCATTTTGTGTGGGTGTTTGTTTTGTTTTCTTTTTGGGGGGGGGGGGGGTTTTTAACCACTTGCCCTCCAGAGGATTTACCCACCTTCCCGACCAGACCATTTTTTTTTTTCTTTGTGTTACGGCTGTTAATTTAACTGACAATTGCGCGGTCATGCAACGTTGCACCAAAATGAAATTTACATCTTTTTTTTTTTTTTTCCACGCGTTTGATCTTCTAAATTTTTTTCCTGGACATGTTTAATAGCAAAAAGTCAAAAATATTTTTCTTTTTCTCAAAATTTGTGTTTTTTTTTTTTTTTCTTATAGCACAAAAAATTAAAAAGGCACAAGCTTTCTTTGGGGGTATTTTGATCGCCTGTTTGTTTTTTGTGTTTGTTTTTTTGCGCTATAAAAAAAAAAAGACCAACAATTTTGAGAAAAAAAAACTATTTTTGACTTTGCTACTAAACATGTCCAGGAAAAAATGTAAAAATCTAATTTCGTCATAAAATTGGCCCAAAATGTATTCTGTCTTTGCTAAAAAAAAAAAATCCCAATACGTGTAAATTCATTGGTATACATGAAAGTTAGTGTTTAGAAATGCCGGTGTGCGTGTGTGCGTGCATATATACTGGGTCTTTTTTTTTTTTTTTTTTTTTTTTGTACTAGCAATGGCAGCGATTAACAACTTATTGCAGGACTGCGGTGGGCATTCTGACACTGGGGGCAACTGACTTGGTGTCCTTGACATTCCCAGTGACACCAATACAGTGATCAGTGCTAAAAAGAAAAAACAAAACTGTACTAAGGGCACTAGGCCAGAAGGGGTTAACGTGGGGCGATCAAAAGGTTAACTGTGTGCTGTTTCACTACGTGCTGTCCATGTGCTTCACTGTAAGCCCACTGTTTTGGGTGGCTGTGAGCAGTGTACACGAGCTGACAGGGAGGAGAACTGTTTTGTTTACAAACAGTTCTCCCCATCAGAGGTGTGTGTGTGTGTGTATATATATTAGTGATTTTGTGCATCCGTGCCATTCTATAGCTGTATTTCTGTTTATAGGGAGGTCGGGCAATGGAAAGGTGTGTGTGTCTATCTCTTTTTTTAGAGTGTGGTGTTTGTCCCTTCATGAAGATCTGTATAATAAGGTGGCAGTGCCTATAGATCAATGCATGCTTGATGTAATAACTGGATTGAATCTGCATTGCTCCTGGGAACATATGGATTTTAATAAAGGTGACAAATATTTACGGTTCAAACTAGATTGGATTTTGTGGATACACCATCTGAGATGAAATTTTTATTTTGACATTTTCTTTTAGGTGACATGACTCATGTAACTGGTCTTTGTTCTATCCTTTTGCTCTTGTTTGTAGCATTTGACTGATCTGTCATTCCCTGTTCTGTAAGGGGCAACCTTTTTGTCCAAAACTGATTTGTATATTTTTTATGACCCACTATACCAGCAAGTTAATAGATGTTACTTGAATTCCATTTGTACTCCTTTTTGTAATTCCTTTTAAGAATATAATACAAGAAAGCAATGTGAGCGATCGGAGTTTCTTTGAAAACAAATTTCTCCACCATGTCTAGCTAAAGAAGTAGAAGGTTTTGTTTTCAATTGTTTCAATGCATGTTCAGAAAATGTAAATACTTCAGTGTGCATAGTCTGGGCACAGGTTCACTCTAAAAATAAATTTTTGTGTATATATATTTTTTTTTTTTTTTAATTTTGTTTTTTTTTTTTATCCCAGAAGAATTAGTTGTATGATAGTACAGAACACTATTCTTTATGGTGCTTGCAAAAATGCTCACTCTGATTCAATTTATTAGATTCCTCTGAGGAGGCTGAAGACCATGAAGATGAGGAGGATGAGGAAGAAGAGGAGGATGAAGATGATGATGACGAGGAGGATGATGGAGAGGAATTTAACCAAAAACGTTACGAACTGAGACAGAGAAAAGCTGCTGTTCCCTACCAAGTGCCTCTACAAGGTGAAGAACATTACTTTAAAAAAGAAAAAAAAAAAAAACAACTTGTTTCACCTATAGGACAGAGTTGCCGATGTCTGCCTGAGAGTTGGGTCATTTATTGGTGTGTCCTTTTCCTGGAAACTGAGCTCTCTTTCGAAAAATGTTAGAGACTATAGTTCTTCAGCAAGGTTGCAAGAACCGTTTTCTGGTTTAGTGCCCTCTGCTTCCTCAGGCAGATTGACTATGCAAATGTAATGTCATAGGACCTAGTGGGGTTAATTTACTGAAACCGGAGAGTGCAAAATCTTGTGCATCTGTGCATGGCAGCCAATCATCTTCTAACTTCAGCTTGTTCAGTTAAGCTTTGACCAGAAAAACTGGAAGCTGATTGGTTTCTATGCAGAGCTGCACCAGATTTAGCGTTTTGCAGTTTTAGTCAATCAAGCTCAGTTTGTCTAGTGTTGCCAGTGTGGGCTTTGAAAGGAACTTTTTGAGGTTGGCCCATGTCACTACTTTTCAGTGGTTGTGTAATGTCTTAGCAGGTTGATTATCCATTTTAGCACTGGTGGATTGGGCATGAAGGTTTTGTTAATCATGCTGGAGCAAAGACTAAATTTACAAACTGACACTTCCGCTGTTGAAAAGATCATGGATGCATCAGTTTAGTGTTCGCAGTCTGTGATTTAGGGGGGGGGGGGGGGCACACAGCCAATGATGCAGAAGTATCCAGAAGATCGTCAAGGGCAAGTGTATGAATAGGAGCTCATTCTACTCAGATATTTATGTACTGCACGAAGCAAAACAACCAAGCACAGCCCTATGTAGGTGAGGCTGGAGTGGCCTCTACCTTAGAGCTTGTGGTAACAACCTTTTAATAGAAAACTCACATAGATGCATATCTGCAGATAGTTTGGAGGTGGCTAAACATTGCCTCTGGTCACAAAAATAATCTTTACTATGGCCACATACAAAATGGTCAATTAGACGCTGACCCTGGATGGTACTCAGTCTGCATCCAGGGTCCTTTTTTGGAGGCTTCTTCCACATGTAACCTTGCAGATGAGCAGTTACATGAGAACAGCAGCAGTGCTGGCCATTGATTTGTACGTATGACTGCTGCTGCTTGCATAGAAGTTTGTGCAGGCAATATTTACTGCCAGCAAGAGCTTGATTTTTGTCAGTTTTCACCCCTGGCAGCTTCTATATGGCCTTGTAAATGTAGCGCAAGACCAAAAAATACAGAGAAGCTTCCATATGCTTATGCGAACTGCTGAATTTTTTTGCTTTGATGCTGTTGAAATGTGGGTTTTCTGCTACTAAGGAAAGTATTTCTAGCTTTAAAAAAATGTTTTTGTGTTTTTTGGTTTTGTTTTTTTCTTAGAGCCCAGACACCATAAGAAAACGGATATGTTTTATGCAAGTGCATCTTCTCCTGTCAGGCAGCGTCATTACCGGTTTAGTTCTGCTGGACCCAGAAGTCCATATTGCAAGAGGCGTCTTAGCAGGTTAGTTTTCACAATTTATTTTGCTTCAGATTTTTTTTAAATGGTGACCACTTTTTTTTTTTTAATGTAATAGAATCTTACAACGAACCTCAAGGCACGTGCAATTGCTAGCACTGACATGCAGACTGGAGCGGAGTCATGGATCCGAATGCAGAGCCTCTGTGTTCAGATCTGTGCACTTTTTGTCCACGTGTCAAACTTTGATATGTAATTGTGTGTGTCTGCTCTGGCGCTGCTTGTGCATCCACTTCTGTGGGTTGCCTGCATGCAGCTCTGAGGTGGATGCGAACTCATCTGCCAGTGGCTCTGCACAGAGGATGGCACTAATGTTCTGTCTGAAGGAACCCTTAGCTGTTTCTGTCAATCAGCCTTTAAGCCAAACTCCACCCAAAAGAGGGGGGATGTGGATCCCTAATTTTGCTGGACCATTCACACAATGCGCAGTGAAGCGGTCACCTGGCTGTGAGCCACAAGCTGTCACTACCAGGTGCTCTCAATTAAGATGCCGGTACGGAGGACCCAACACGGTCCTTGGCGCCCCCTTGGGTGAGCACATTGCTCGATCCTTATACAGATAAGTGTCTGAATATTAAAAGTCAGCAGCTATAGTTTTGTAGCTGCTGACTTCATTTTCAGAAAACTGACTGGAGCTCCTCTTTAAGGCTACTTACTCTCTCACTTTAGCTAAGCTACAGTGCTCTGGTAATCCTTGTAGTAAATGATTTTGTGAAAATGATTGTACACACATGGTAAAAATAGTAATAACTTATAAACTTTAAAAATCTTCCCCCTGCCCCCCAGCCGCTAGTTTTTTGCCAAATAAGAATACATTTCAACACAGCCTGGAAATGCAAAGCTTAGCTTGGTCAGTGGGACCAATCACTTGGTTGCAGCAAATAAAACCGAAGGCTAAGACACCGGTCATTCAATAGCAGTTCAGTGGAGTCTCTCTGTGGCATTGGACCTTGGGAACGCCAAATGCTTTGCTAACAAATTGTGTGGATTGTTTGTTTTTTTTTTTTTTTTTTTTTCCTTCACTCTACAGACAAGGGTGGTTTTCAGAATGGTATGTTCTTTTGCGACATGGCCGGTTTAACTACAAATAGAATTTGGGAAATTTCAATTAAATATCCAAAATTATGTGACAAAACGGAAAGTAAAGAAGCTATCGGAACTTTAATAATTGTCCTTTCTGCTCTTGTTATGTAACAGTATAACGTTCGTTTTCCACTCACACTCTTATCTTCATGGTCACCAGACAAGAACGTGTTAGGGAATCTCCCAAACAGGTACACAGCAATAAAAACCCAGCAAGTATTGTAACTCTTACCTGCTTTCAAAACAAACGTTTTGGATTGGAGTTGAGTTAACACTCTGCACTCACGTTCTGCAGTTTCCACTCGAGTTATCGAACTAGCGCAAGCCATGGAGCTGTGAAGAAAAAAAAAATACCTGGATAGAAAGCGCTCTTATCAGGAGACTCCACACCCTTGATCTGACTATTAGAGGGCAAAGACGGTGCTATGTTAAAATTTAAAATCCATGTACAGAATGTCAACTTTTTTTTCTTTTTTTTTTTTTCTTTCAGGAGGAGACATGCAGTGCATAGCAACGACTCCACATCCTCCTCTTCCTCAGATGATGAGGAACATTTTGAGAGGCGCCTGGTTCGAAGCCGTAACAAGGCCATTGCAAGGTAGTTATCTGAGCTGCAGCTCTACAGTATCCATTGGGAACCAACTGGTGTCTCCTGATCATGTGCTTGCCATGGCTGGCAGTGAGATCTGATAAAGGCACAGTGACTGAATTTGCTGGGGTGCTGTTAGTCTGTTTTAAAAGGAGAAAAATAGGTGATCATTTGTCCACTCCTATTCAAAACCATAAGCTGGATATTCAGGTAACTAGTTTAAAAAAATATATATATACTAGGTAAGGGAAATGCCCTTTACAGAAAACTGATGAGTGCTGATGCTGCCATATTTGGTCTAAGCTTCAGTGGTATTGGGTCATGAACGAGTTATAAATGCAATGCTATTGAAACTATTGTTTTGATACCGGCGCTGGATTTTTCCACATGCTATGTAAACTGAAAGTTTTGGTAGACTGGGAATTTCTTGAATAAGTTCGCCTTTTGAAAAAAAATAAATGCATTTTTTTTTTTTCCCCTAACATGCTTGCAAAGCATTGCACCCGTGATCAGAAGAACAAGGGTGCAATGCCAGACTCCTGCAGACAAGTCCTTCAGCTTCCAGCCCATACCTTCATATGGACTGTTTACAAGCTGCACGACTTTTGAATGAACTGTGCGGCTGCTCATTAGCGATCTCGTATTCCATTCAGAACTACAAACCTTCAGCCACAATGGCTCTGCAGGAAGTTGTAGCTCGTGCATTCACAGTCAAGTGTGAATGCATGATGTGGACAGAGACCTGAACATCCACGTTATTTTCAATTGGTGACAGTGGGCAAGAAGAAGATCCCTTGCTCACGATCACCGGGAGGGGGTAGAGACTGCAGCTGCTGGAACATGTTAAATGTTCCACCTTTTTAAATGCAGGTGGAACATGTAACCTGTTCCAAAAGGTGAACTTCTCCTTTAGGAAGACAAAGCAAACAGTTGACCTAACTCATTGGTGCTTAACCAATATGGAAATATCAGTTTGATGGAGTCAATCTTTTTATAGAAAGCCTATATGCTTGTGTTTTATACTTTACATAAGTGTGCTTTACATGCCTCCTACATTTTGCAAATCAAACATTATGGAAAGTTTTTTTTAGCAGTGGTACTGTTGTGTAACCTGTGTGTGGGGTGTTTTTTTTTTTTTTTTTTTTTTTTTTTTTTTTTAGGTGTCTCCCTATGAATTTGCAGAGAGAAGATTTAAAAGGACTTCACAAAGATCGCATGAAAATTGGTGCTAGTCTAGCCGATGTTGACCCAATGCAGATTGACACCTCTGTGAGTCTGATGTTGTAACAAATTTAAACCGTGTCATGTCAGTGGCTCAAGTATTGGAGCCTAAGAATTGGCTTTATAGTCAGACATCTAACATTCTTAAGTTACTCCTGCTAGCCTCCATATTGTACTTGGTTGTGTGTTCTAGAGAGAGAGAGGTTTCAGCCACCAAATCTCTTTATAGCCTGAAAGTAGTCGTATCGGCATTTAGCCGATACAGAGGGCTGTGTACTGCAGGTTTTTTCTTTTTTGGGGGGGCTGCCATTTAAAGGCAGGAGAGGAACAGTGTATACAGTGAGCTACCGCTTCATGTCACTGCTGGTTTTCAAATGTAATTACCAGCTTTTTTTTTTTTTTTTCCTTCATTAAAGCTCCAAGAAGGAGCTGTCATTCTCCCCGCTGCTAAAGTAAACAGAGGCAATGTCACTGGGTGACATTTTGTTTCCTTTAGCGGCGTGTTTAATGAAAGCTCCTTCTTGGAGCAATAGTGAAGGGGAAAAAAAAGCCTGAGTGTATACACTGCTCCTCTCCTGCCCCCATCCTTGCACACAATTTTCCAATCCCCCCCACACCTTGCCCAATGAGTTTGCCTTTACTGCAGTGCCCATATAATGATAAATACCATACAGTGCAGCAGTACTTTGGACCCAGCCATTTTAAAGACACCACCCAGGGAGTATGTCGGTGGCAGCCTGGGCTCACAGAAAGAGAGGTTGAATGCTACTGGTTGTTGTATGATTTGAAAGTTTGGTCCCAAGTGGTGGAATGTGGAAGAGTGTAAATAAATAGGGTTGAAAACTTTTTACACCGAGGTAGGGGGGGGGGTTAACGTATTTTAACAAATTTTGATTTGTATGTGTGGATTACAGATTTAGTGGATGTGGACAACTTTGTGTAACAGGTTACAGAATAAAAAATGTAAATCTCTACACTAAATAGAAGGAAACTGTGCAGTTGCTTCTGTGTGTGGGGTTTTTTTTTTTTTTTTTTTAGTTCAAGTAAGAAACGGACCCCACGGGACATTGATAAATATACTAAGAATTGTTTTGCCCATTTGCAACTGAATGCCAAAATGCTTTTCTCCTTTTTTTTCCTATAGGTACGGTTTAGTAGTGTTGGAGGTCTCTCTAAACATATTGCCTCATTAAAGGAGATGGTAGTTTTCCCATTACTTTATCCAGAAGTCTTTGAAAAGTTTAAGATTCAGCCACCAAGGTAGGTTCACTTGTATATTTTATGGTAATATGGTTAGAGGGTGTAAATATTTATAAGTGGGCAAAAAATCCTTTTCTTGCTGAGTTTTAGTACAAAATCTAATATAAGCCATGTCTGTAGGTTAGACTCAGAACAAAGTTGCTATACCCCTCTTTTTATGTACCTGAATGAATATAGCAGATTGGTGAATGAGATCTGTGGCCCTCTGAACATCAATGCTCCCAATCCAGGGGACTGCAAAAGGCCATAAAGAAAGCACCAATGGGGCAGCAATGATTGATTTCTAGCAGTCCCACATTGCATGCATCCATTCTGTTTTCTGCAGCAGGTTTCCAGTCTCCAGCAACAATTGTCTCCTAGTATGTCTGCCGTTTTGACATCCTCTGCTGTAGGAATATATATACTGACTATGGTGTATGGCCCTTTGGTGCTTCCAGGGGCTGCAGTTGAGGCCTCCTATACCACTAACAGTGAAACTGGCCATGTAAGCCTCACCTTCCACCAGCTGTCTGGCTTTCATGATTACCTAGCCCTTAATATTGCCTTACCGTAATGCGATTGGGAGGGGGGTGATGGAAAGTTCACTGTACCGGGTACCCCTAGCTCTGCGACTGCTTGCAATGAGCCTACAAACACTGTCAATATCTTCTGCCTGGAATATTGTTGTCCTCTGTACCTAGAGTCCCTTTTTTTTTTTTTTTTTTTTTTTTTTTTTTTTTTTTTTTTTTAGCTCTGTTGGGCATGGCTGGCTTTTTGAGATTTTTTTTTTTTTATTTTATTTTATTTTTTTACTGTAGTCATGCAAGATTTTACAGTCAGTCAGCAAACCATTGGGAGGGGACTTCACATTTTGTATTAGATGTACTCGCAGCCTTGGTGGCCTCTGGGCTTACTGGGCCAGTAGGTTGAACAAACGAAAGAAAATGACTCGATTTAGCCATCCACGGATTTATTATATACTGACAGCGGTGAGACTTTCCCCACTGGTACTGATTAAAAGAATTTTCCAACAGGCTGGCTGTAAATGAGTCGTTCAATAAAGGTACAAGAATTCACTGGATGCCCAGCAAGAGCACAGTAGCATCCAATGTGTTCCCATGCCAAATCCAGCAAGCTGGATTTGGATACATCTGCATGAGCTTGTTCTTTTTTTAAAACGGAACTGGCTAGTTCACCGAATGAAAATGGAGGAAAGCCTAAAAATAAAACAAATGCAGCCATCACATGTAAGAACTGCTAAGCTGCAATGTTTGTTTTTGGGTTTAATACCGCTTGGAGACTGGGCCAAGAATAGTATGTCTCCGGAGTCTGTTCTCGGGGCAAGGCAGTAGGGGCACACGGAACAGATCATTCTTAATGGGCACTTTCTTGTATGCACATATTGTAGTTTCAAAATTTTAGTGAACATTTGCAGGAGACTTTCTGTATTAATGTTTTTTTCTTTCCTCAGAGGCTGTCTGTTTTACGGACCACCCGGTACTGGAAAAACATTGGTTGCCAGGGCCCTGGCTAATGAGTGCAGTATAGGTGACAGAAGAGTATCTTTCTTCATGAGGAAAGGGGCTGACTGCTTAAGCAAATGGGTTGGAGAATCGGAACGTCAGCTGCGACTGCTCTTTGACCAGGTAATGTTCTTTCTGTGGAATCGAGGGGTGACCTTGGTCAATAATTCCATAGCTTTGTGCTAGCCTCATTAGACCTGTTCGTTTCTAGAAATCACTGCAGGACCTATTTTGTCGGTCCACCCACATGGATGCAAAAGTCTGCATTTAATATCTGCTGTTTTCACAAACCGTGGTTGACATCCAATGTGAGATTTGTTTATCATAGAGGGATTTGCTTAGAGCCAGGCTCAAGACAGTGACCAGAAATGTCATGGATCTTTATATCCATGTAAGACCAATTTTTAAAGTAGTTATGTGATGAAATAGGGAAGCGCCTCTTACCTTGTTTTTTTTGGGGGGGTTTTGAAACTGCAACCTCCAGGACTGCCAATGGATGTAGATTTTCTGGGCTCCTGCACTTGCTTGTTACTAGTCTATTATAAATGGAACCTGCACTCCTAGACAGGTTACATTTTATAATTTAATACATTTTATCACGCTATTTCTGTATTTTGAAAAAAAAAATTAACATATCGTGTTGTAGTTTGTTGCAAAAACCTAATTGTAAATGAATCCTTAAATTCAAGAGTCTTGGTTGTGCTTATTCTTTTTAAGCTGAAGGACCACAATGCAATGTCAGACTTGGGTTATTATCATGAAAGAATACCTGATGGTCTGCAGTTACATGTATAAAAAGCCTCTTGTGCTAAAGTGCACCCATTCATTTTTGTTATGGCTGGCAAATCAGAGTCCCCAGTCTATATTTTGGACAAATTTGGTTGCCAGAAATCACCCAGCAGCCCTGTGTGGTTTGGCCTCAACCTTGTTAAAGCCGAACTAAAACCTCCTATCCTTTACAGCTGAGGAAGCTGTCATCTTACAGCGGAGCTCCACCCAAAAGGGGAAGTGCCACTTTAAGGACTGCTCCCCCCCACACCCCCCCCACCCCCGCGCCCCCCCCCCCCCCCCCCCCCCCCCCCCCCCCCCCCGCTCCCTATTAAGGATTGGCACCTTTTGGGGGCGGAGGGAGCGGGTACCCAGATTTGACAGGTACCCGCTCCCACTTCTGGTCCAATCGCCTAATCGGTCGGAAACAGAAGGTTACCTCCCTCCCTGTAGTCTTTTGGGACATGTGACAGGTCCCAGAAGACTACAGGAACATTCATGCAGCGCTACTCGCATGCAAAGTGGGCACCCGGCTGTGCAGCCGCAAGCTGTCACAGCCGGGTGCCTACATTGAAGATGCCGGCCTCCTGGAATACAGGACGGCCGATGAAACGGCTGCGGGGGACACACCACGGGACCAAGGGACAGTTTTTTTGTAGCTGCTGACTTTTATTTTTTTGACAGGGTGAGTGGAACTCCACTTTAACTTCTGTTCTGCATTTGCTATGATGCTACACATGTGATCAGTTTTCAAACCAGCCATTTGGTAGCTTGACATTTTGGCTGAGAGCACAAGCAAATTGTTCATGGCATGTCTTTTTATTATAACTATTATGGGAAAGAAATATTTAAATCCAACAGTTCCACTTTTCATTAGCTGTGCCTTTTCAGTTTATTCTCACACGTTTCTTCTGTTACCTAGGCTTATCAGATGCGTCCATCAATAATCTTTTTTGATGAGATTGATGGCTTGGCACCAGTCCGATCAAGCAGACAAGACCAAATTCATAGGTACTATAATATTTACGGTTTGATTTTAATGCAGTTCAATGGCACTTTGGGTTTGTTTTTGTTCACTTTTTGGTCTGAGTATAGATCTATGCTTGTTCTAGATGTTCAATAATATTTTAACATATATTTGAGTACTTCCTATGAGAGGACTAGTTTGTCATGTAACGCTTTTTCCCCTGAAACATTTTAGTTCCATTGTTTCCACATTGCTGGCTCTTATGGATGGTTTGGACAGTCGCGGAGAGATTGTTGTAATCGGAGCCACCAACAGACTTGACTCTATTGATCCTGCCCTGAGACGGCCTGGACGTTTTGACCGAGAGTTCCTTTTCAGCTTGCCTGACAGAGATGTAAGTATGACAGTGTTTTTTACCATTTGCCCTTCTGCAGTGATACAAATCCTGGATCCCCCTCCCTTCCTTCCTATTTTAATTTTAAATATGTATTGTATGAGAGAATGTAGAACTGCATCTTTTTTTTTTTTCAATTTTATACCTTAAAATGCTTCCCTGCAGTTTGTGGGAAGTAACAAATAATTAGGTGATTTCACCGGAAGGAGATCCTAAAGTAGTTGTGACGTTCAGTAATCACATACACATTTTTGTATAAATATATGCGTTTTAAAAATCCATCTCTACAAAAAAAAAACTTGCCAATTGTTTTTCCTGCTTGCAAAGTTCAAGTCATATGATCACTGTTCATGTCAGAGGGATTCACAGGCCTGTGGTTTGGCTTGTAAAGGGCTGGACATCACATCATTGCAGCTTCACGGAGAAGGATTTGCTGGCTGGGAAAGCCACCGGTAATCAGACCGGGTTCACACATGTGCGGGGCGGCTTCAGTGAGATTTATAAAGAGTCTGGTGCAGTTCCGTTCAGGTGAGATGAGTCTAGTATGATGTTCAGTCCGGTTCAGGTACACTTAAAATATATGAGCCTAAACTGCTGAATGAAACCGCACCGTACTCCTTTTTACACATCTCACTGAAACTGGCCCTGCGCATATGTGAACCCAATCCAACACTTGAAATTGCACCTGAACAGGGCTTAAAATTGTACCTCACTTTTTAAAATCTCCCTGTGCCCAGCCCACACAAATGTGAACCAGCTCCATAGAAATCCAGTTTGGTTTAAAAAGGCTTAGAGGATGGATGCTTGCACAGTGTCTGTATCTAACAATGATATGACTAAGGATGTGAACTGACCATAATGGCGTGGATTGGCCTCCATGCTTAGCTTGGTCAGTTTACTACCAGGAAGAGGGGAACTGGGATATTTCCAAGCTTGACAATGAGTATTCCCTAAAATTTTGCCATCTGTTTGGTAGAGTTGAAAGCTTGAGTCACAATATATATTTTTCGATGAACATCAAAGATTTTAAGTTCCTTCTTTCCCATAGATACTTTTGGAGCAGTAGGTGATGTCCAGGATCTCAATATGGCTCTACAGGCCGTCCAGTAAACATACCCATGGTGGTATCGTTGGTTTTGATGATCTGGATGAAGTGAAGGAGTTGAACCGCTTAGGGAGATAACATGGGATCCTTATTGAGTTGTAATGCTGCTACAGCATTTATATAATTCAAAAAGTATCCTTATTCTGGGACCAAATTCTGAACAGTCCCACATCCTATGCAGCAGTGTGGGATGCAGTATACCACACCATGAGCAAGTGGAAGCCGAGGGATCTGTTTTACCAAACAAAAATGGCATAAATGCTCCAAGTAAAAGTTGATATCGAGTGTTTTTATCTGTTCATTTGTCTCTGTAAAGCTTATCGGATGCTGTCACAGGTTGGCAACACCTTTTTTGTGGTTTTTTTTGTGGTTTTTTTATTTGTTTTTTACAGAATTAGAAATTCCTTGCCATTTTTGCAATGCATAACGCTTACATAAATTGTTACCATAAACGGCTAGCAAGCATCTGTAATTTTTGTAGGAGGGACACTTTTCTGCCATCAGGAACACATGTTGTGTAAATCACATTGCCAAGGGTCCAGCACCAGATTCAATTACATATAGTAGCAAAACAGTCATTTTACTGTTACTATACCCAGAACTCTGCATTCACTATATCTGGTCTCCCACAGTAAACAGAACATGGAAATGCAATTATTTTAGTAAATATAAATTGCTAAATACCTTTTTTTTTTTTTTTTTTTTTTTTTTTTTTTTTTTTCTTCTCATTAGCAGTCTATAGCAGTCTTGTGACTTATCTCAGTGTCCAGCAGAGCACTGGTTAAAGCTTGTAGAAGGCGTTTTCATTTTGCTTTGTCTGTCCTATCGGGCTGTATATCCCCTTACCTCTGTCTGGACAGTGCTGATCACATGACCCTTCCAAAGAAAGAAAAAAAAAAACTAGCAATACACACTAAACTGAGCATGTGCAGAGTGACTCTTAGAGCGGTGTACTATCAGCAGATGTATTGGGGACAATAGACGGGGAGGATCAGAGAAGACAGGATCAAACAGTCTTTTTACACAATGCGGAGAATGAACCCCTTGGGTTCCATAGTGAGTATAACAAGCATGCTTTACTGCACATAGAATGATTTTACTGTTGTGGGTTTAGCACTTTGATGACTAGCCACTAGCTAAAGTGACAGAGAGAACCTACACAACATGTCAGTATTTGTTGCATATCAGTGCTGCCTTCTGTTGAGATATGAAAGCTGAGGAATCGCTTATGAAAAAATTAGCTTTAATTTCATGCGTTGTGTAATTGGTATTCACCTGCTTACAGGCACGTCTGGAAATTCTGAAAATTCACACAAAAGAATGGAATCCACAACCAGCAGAAACATTTTTGCAGGAATTGGCTGAAAAGTGTGTTGGTAAGAACTGCTTTGTGTTGCAGGACAACGTTGTGAATTGAATATGCTACTTTGTATATAATTCTGTTTCTTTTTTTGTTTCATTTTTTTTTTTTTTTGCAGGGTATTGTGGGGCAGACATAAAATCTCTGTGCTCCGAAGCTGCCTTGTGTGCTTTACGCAAGCGTTACCCTCAGATTTACACAACAACAGAGAAGCTGCAGCTTGATGTGTCCTCTATTAAAATGACTGCTAGAGACTTCATGTTTGCCATGCAGAAAATTGTGCCGGCATCACAGAGAGCCGTTGTCTCCCCTGGACAGGCACTTTCCTGCATTATCCAGCCTCTGCTTCAGAACACCCTGTGCAACATCTTGGAGGCATTGAAGAAAGTTTTCCCACATATGGAAGAAGGACTTAAACATAAAGGGCCTGGTGCGTAACACATTTCTGTATTTAACCCCTACTAATTTTTAAGTATTGGTTTTTAGACATGGGTGACCAGGTCATTTATTTATTTCAGGTGCTTATATAGCGCCGTCAATTTACGCAGCACTTTACATATATATTGTACATTCACATCAGTCCCTAACCCTCAAGGGGCGTACAATCTAAGGTCCCTAACGCACATTCATACATACTAGGGACAATTTAGACAGGAGCCAATTAACCTACCAGCATGTCTTTGCAGTGTGGGAGGAAACCAGAGTACCCGGAGGAAACCCACGCAGGCACAGGGAGAACATGCAAACTCCATGCAGGTGGTGCTGTGGCTGGGATTCGAACCAATGACCCTAGTAATGCCAGGCTGAAGTGCTAACCATTTAGCCACTGTGCTGCCTACAGGGCATAAATCATTTTACCCTTTCACTCCCAGGTGGGTAGGGGGTAGACCAGCAAATATCTGTTCACTGATCTCCTCTCCCTATTAAGTATCCACGTGTTTGCTTCCAGGTTTGAATGTCACTTGTGCAATATACACTTCGTTAGCTTCAGTAGAGGGCAGGAGAGAAATCAGGGATACAAAATATATTGGGGACATTTGGTGTCTCCCCCCCCCCCCCCCCCCCTACTCATCAAGGGGTCTCTGCCTCCTCATCAGCTGAGACAGCAAGCGGGAGCCATTGGCTCTTGCTGCTTTCAATCACAGCTAGTTAGCCAGTGAGGAGAGGGCGGAGCCAAGCTGCAGCTCCGTGTGTGTGATTGGACACATGGAGCAGCGGGTGCCCCCATAGCAAGCTGCTTGCTGTGGGGGCACCCGCCAGGAGAGCAGAAGAGGAGGATCCAGGTTGCTCTGTGCAAAACCACTGCACACACATCAGGTAAGTATAGACACATTTGTTCTTTGTTGCGGTTCACGGATGCGTTCAATTTTAAGGCTTGACATGTTCAGAATCTTTTGAAAAGAACAACCTCCTCTTCTGTGTGTTAACAAAGTGTAAAAATTTAAATTGTGCGCCCTAAAATTATTTTATTTCAATACTTGTATAGCGCCGTCAATTTACACAGCACTTTACATATATATTGTACATTCACATCAGTCCCTAACCCTCAAGGGGTGTACAATCTAAGGTCCTAACTCACATTCATACATACACATACTAGGGACAATTTAGACAGGAGACAATTCACCTACCAGCATGTCTTTAAAGTGTGGGAGGAAACCGGAGTACCTGGAGGAAACCCACACAGGGAGAACATGCAAACTCCAGGCAGGAGGTGCCGTGGTTGGGATTTGAACCAACGACCCTAGTACTGCCAGGCGGAAGTGCTAAACATTTAGCCACTGTGCTGCCCTTATAAATTTTTTATGTCAACTAATATAAGGGCAAAAAATCTATAAACTACCACCATTTTATTTTAGGGGATCGGTTTTCAAGAAGTACACAATATTTTGGGGGGTCTTAAGTAATCTTCCTAAAATGATTTGCAAAAAAAATGGCTGACAGTTAAAGGGTTAAAGCAAAACTCAGCCATCAAAATATTGAATAGCCCATTATAAGGTAATAAAAAGCTTTATGCTTGCCGTTTATTCCTGTTCTGTTGCCTGCAGCATGTCTCCATCACTGAAAGTCCTCCGTGTAGGTTAATTGGTGTCAAGGGGGTGAAGGGTGTAAACGACTTCAGCTTGAGTGTTTTCTCCTAAAATAAACTCCCTCTACCCAACCTTTCTGCAGCAGTGCTGCTCCATCAGCCTCTTGCAGGCACTTGGTCTACATTCAGCCACTTGCTGTAGGACACAATTGGGAGACAGCGGTTCCCAGAAGAAGTGTCTTTAACCAGTTGTCAACCGCAGATAGCCGAAATGACGGCTGCACTGCGGCCGGCCAGTTCTGGGAGACAGTCATATGACATCCTCCCAGAAAGCGCTCTGCTGCATGCTCCCGGTGATCTCCATGTCCTACCGACACAGCTGATCACGTGATGATCGGTGCCCAGCAGTGCCATCCACCAGAGCCGCTCACCTGGGCCCAGCAGTGCCGCAAGTCAGTGCCGACTATCAGTACCCATCATCAGTGCCGCCTATCAGTGCAGCCTCATTAATGCATATCGGTGAAGGAGAAAAATTAACTGTTTGCAAAATTTTATAATAGAAACAAAGAAACTTCCCCCCCCCCCCCCCCCCCCCCCCCCCCCCCCCCCCAAAGTTCTTGCTTTTTTTTTTTTGTTTATAGCGCAAAAAGTAAAACGCCCAGCGGCAAATACCACCAAAAGCTCTATTTGTGAGAAAAAAATTATAAAAATTTCATATGGGTATAATGTTGCATGACCGCGCAATTGTTATTCAAAGTGCGACAGCGTTAAAGGCTGAAAATTGGCTTGGTAACGAAGGGGGTATAAGTGCCCTGTAGGCAAGGGGTTAACAAGGACCTACATGGCAGGATCACCAGGTATTTTCTTTTATGTGCTGTAGATCTGGGAAAAAAACAGACTGAAAACTACTTGGAAACGGGCGGACTGACCATTTGGAAACTCGGGCGCTGCCGAGGGCCCGGGGTCAGTAGGGGCCCCATAAGATGCCCCTGGTACCTTTTTCATAGGCTTTTTTGAGTTTGGGCAAGGACACGGGCCCCATGATCCCCTATTGCCCGGGGGCCCCATGAGTTGTCAGTCCGCCCCTGCTTGGAAAACAACAATTTACATGGAAAAGCTTTTCATGAGATTTTATTGGGTTTAGATGTCTTTGATGCTTTGAAATCCTTTTTTCTTAATTGCCAGATGTCCTCTAACTCCAGGCCCGCAGAAGAAATGAAGTTCCCGCACACCACAGGGTGATGCCACTCAGTCAGGGATATTCATTCCAATGAAATCCGCATACAAACAGCACCATTAGCAAGGAATGTTGCTGCATTGCACACAATACTGCACTTATTAGATTATGAATAAGCAAGGTGTGTGAAACCCCTCAGAATTCCTTGCTCACTATGCTGTTAGTATGCTGATTTCATTGGAATGAGGAATCTCCCTGAGGTGTGTGGCAACTTTTGTTTCTAGTATTCACATTGATGAGCTGGACAGGCACCTGCAAGAGACCTGCTTTGTCCATCTTACCTGTCACTTGTCTGGAGCTGTTTTGTCTTGTATTAACACCAGGCTGTACCTGTAAATATCTCCTGCAGTTTGTTGATCAGGTGCCTTAGTAGACATGCTACAATACAGAAGGTTCATTTGGGCTTTAAAGTAATATTAAAGACTTTTTTTTTTTTTTTTTTTGTTATACTTGCCTACTTTCTGCATTGGTTTTGCACAGAGCAGACTCTATCTTCCTCTTCTCAGGTCCCCTGTTGGCACTCCTGGCTCTGCCCCTAAGGGGGCACTCGTGTGCTTGCTCCTGAGTTGGCTGTGTGTGTCCATAAGACACACAGAACAGGGCTCGGCCCCATCTCCATTTCCTCGTCATTGGCTTCTGCTGCTGTATCTGAGCCAATGAGAGCCTCCACTCTCGTGCACAATGCTGGATCAAGATCCAGAAATGTAATTAGGGAGGACTGCAGTGGAAGCTGCATGCAGAAGGGTGTGTGTGTGTATGTATGTGTATGTGTGTGTGTGTGTGTGTGTGTGTGTGTATATGTATATATATATATATATATTATATATATATATATATATATATATATATATATATATATATATATATATATATATATATATATATATATATATATATATATATATATATACACATATATATATATATATACCTACACATGTGTATGTATGTGTATATATATATAATGCAGTAGGGTGAAAAAACCTGGCTTTAGAACTACTTTTAACCTCCCTGTCTGTATTCCCGAGTGTAGCTCGGGGTAAAGTTTCAGCACCACAAGCGGTAACCCCGAGCTACACTCGGGAATACACTGCATCGCTGCTCTGGGATCTGTTCTTCACTTACCCTGTCCTGCGCTCCCGTGATGTCCCTCCTGCAGTATCCCCAGCAATCTCCTCCGGCCAATGCCGGCATCCGTCTTCCGGTCCCTGTGAGCATCGGGACGTACGGGGACAGAACTGGCGGAACATTTAAAAATGTCAAAAAAGTGACATTCACTCAATGCTCTAAAATCACATAGTATAACATTACTGTATCAAACCATTTCACATACATTTTGTCCCGAGTTTTGTCCCGGTTTTAGACCGGCTAGAGAACAGCGATAGTAAATTAGAACCACTTGCAGAATTGAGTGATAATGATTCGTGGGGAAATTGATTGACTGAAAATGATTTTGCAACTTTGCTCAGTGATGTGCGAACTTGGCGCTATATTTCATATTTCAGTGTTTTTTGGTTTGATTATATTATTGAATTAAATTTATATCTTTTTACGATTATTCAGTTATAATTTATGATTTCGTGTTTCAAATTTTATCCTACCCCGGGATGTTTACTAGACTTTTGCTCGGACAGATTTCAGTGAGTTATTCCTAAAAATTACAGGCCTACAATAAAAAAAATACATATTTTCATGCAAAAAAAGTACCGCTTTGAGCACAGAAATACTGACATAATCAGATCGCTAGGGAGGTTTAAAGACCATCTTTGCTTTCCGCATGCAGGGTAAAGCAACAGGTTCACTTGATTGCCTGCTACTTATACTCTCCTTCCCTTGGTTTGTCTGCTGGAGTGAATTTGAGGAGCACTGTGTAAGCATTAAGTTGATCTGGTCAGAGCATGCATAGTTAACCTCTTCTCACCAAGCATGCGCAGATGTGCAGCCTTTCTGCATCTGGGCCTTGACTCAGAGCGGCTGCACATTTGCTTGCAATTAAAATAAAAAAAACAACCATATGTGCTTAGAGCGGGCACCCTGCACGCTCACAGCACGCATGTCCGGTACTCACGGAAAGTTCCCAATCTCCTCCTCCTTATGATCTGGACCTTTCCCGATCATGTGACAATGAATCACGGTGGTCACATGACCCTAAGACCCTGCCTTCCGCCTTCTGAAACACTTAAAGGGCCGGGAGGCGCCAGCGCCACGGGGTTAAAGACACTCACTGCCACCAAATGACATTGGATGTGCCTGGCTGCTCAGGCACATTTTGCTTCTGTTTTGGATTGTTCAAATGGTGAGAATATCACATGATATAAGAATAGTAGACATGACAGCTGTTTTCTGGTGGGGGCATAACTTTCTGAGACTGTTACCTGGCTCATGTCAATGTTTCAATGCTTGGGCACTTGCCAGGGACATGTATAGAAATTTATGAAATTCTGAAACTCATTTACACCATGCTTATTTTGGCTCCGACTTGCTGTTAAAACTAGACCCACCCAGGCAAGTAGCATTTTCAGGAGGCCAGCTATGTTGGGCCCTACATTTATTTCATGACTCGTGTATGTTAAGTGTGTTGTCAACCGCTTTCACTGGACCATGAAAGATTGAGATGTGAGAGCACCACCGCTACTTTTGCAGCAATATCACTTATAAGTGTCCACTTCACTTACTTTTTTTTCTTCTTGTATATTTAAGCACTTTCCATTGGTTTGTTGGATGAAGACCTGATTTATAGTGATGATGAGGGTCCCTCTGTGTTTGAAAATGGGATAATCAATAAATTGCCAAATGGTAGATCGAAAGAAAATCGCCCATTTATTCACCTCAATGTGTAAGTACTCTTATTAATCTGATGCTTTGACTTGTAAGATTAAAATTTTTAATGGTAAATCTCGTTCATTACGGTCATAAATCAGTGGAGAGGTTTGTTTTCTCTCCCCTGTACTGCCTAAATCAAAACATAAACATTTTGGAATAATATAAAATCCCAGGGTTATTGAAGAATAAGTACGCTTTAAAACAGTGTGCGTTTTTTTTTTTTTTTTTTTTTTTTTTGCTCTGTCCAAAACAATCCTGCTCTGCCCTTTCCACAAATGTATACTTGCCTGAATTCAACAGCCATGGCTTCCATTGTTTACATCCAGCTTTGAAAACCTCCCTTTAACCACCTTCCGCCCACCATATACTACAATGATGGGCGCAATGTGGTTCTCTTGTTCTGATAGGACGTCATATGACGTCCTTCCATTCTCACTGCGCATGCGCGGCTCAGGGAGTGCGCAGCGTGGCGATCGCCAGTGTGCTGTGTCCCTCGGCCACAGCTGATCACGGAAAGAGCCGAAGATGCCAGCTCGGTCATGTGATCAGCTGTGTCCAATCACAGCTGATCACATGTAAACACGGAAATGCCGGTTATCGGCATTTTTCTCCTCTCGTGCTGTCACGCTGACAGCTGGAGAGGAGAGCCAGTAATCGGCTTTCGGCGGAGGGTACATGTACACTGATCATCAGGGCACTGATGATCAGTGTGGCCCCAAAAGTGCCCCCTGTCAGTGTCCATCAGTGCATACCAGTGCACATTAATGCCACATATCAGTGCTGCCTATCAGTGCCCATCAGTGATGCCTGTCAATGCCCATCAGTGCCTCCTCATCATCCGTGTCCATCAGTGCAGCCTCAATAGCGCACATCAGTGAAGGAGAAAAATCACTTATTTACAAAATTGTACAGCAAAAACTAAAACGTGTTTTTGTTTGTTTTTTTTACAACATTTTCAGTGGTTTTTGGTTTAAGAATAAATAAAAATCCCAGAGGTGATTAAATACCACCAAAAGAAAGCTCTATCTGTCTAAAAAAAAAAAAGATAAAAATTTCATATGGGTACAATGTTGCATGACTGCGCAATTGTCATTCAAAGTGTGACAGCGCTGAAAGCTGAAAATTGGCCTAGGCAGGAAGGAGGTGAAAGGCCTCTGTAGGCAAGGGGTTAAAGGCTGCATTTGCATGTTACAGCCCCATGGACAACTTTTTGGTCCTCTTCCCACTGGCTGATGTAGGTAATGAGCCTCACTAAAGTCTATGGGGCTTTATTGCACTGATGCAGCCAGGATAGGGAGCCTTTCACCACTAGATGTAACAAACGTGCCACGGCCATCATATCTCGGTAAGTATCTTTGCAGGAGGATTGTTTAGGTCAAGGCAAAAAAAATAAATGCATTTTGTCTGAAAGTGCGCATATTCCTTATGCAAAAAGAAAAACAAGCTAGAAATTTTAATTTTGGTAGTGTTGTGTCTCCAGCTTGTTGACTATCTCATTACTGAAAATGGCCTGGAAATTAATGGGTGTAACTTCTTGGAATTGAGGTGGTTCAAATCAAAGGTATTGGGCTTACAAGTTACCTGAGGAAGAGTAAGCACATCAGTGGCCTACCTTGCAGTCCTCTACAGTCTTCAAACTGTGGCCAGCAGCAGGAATAGTAATTGGTCCAAAGTGGTGAAGGGACCAGATAGCAATATCGCAGAATAGTGATACCCTCGTTGCTTCTGGGATAATGGTGTGGCTCCACCCATTTTTGGGCGCAGAGTCAACGCTTGAATTTTAAACACAGACTGTCAAAGAAAATGGTTTGGTTTTTCTTTTGGGAGGTGTTTTTTTTTTTTTTTTTTTTTTTTTTTTTTTTTTTTTTTTTTGTGGTCCTGTCTGGAGGACTCTTTGCCCGCAGGTTTTGAGATTGACAGAAATATTTGTATTGATTGTATAGTTACTCTAACACTTGTAACGGTCTCTCTATTGTGAACAGGAATGCCTATCACCAGCCAACTTCGTACAGGCCTAGGTTTTTGATCTGTGGGAAGCCAGGCCTGGGTCAGGGTACGCACTTGGCTCCAGCACTCATCCACACTCTGGAAAAGTTCACCGTGTACACATTGGATTTGGCTGTGCTTTTTGGGGTTAGTGTAACGTCTCCAGAAGAAACTTGTGCACAGGTAATTAAGCTTTTGTATTTTTCTACTAGACTCCTAACCATGCTCTACTGAGGTTGTTTGAAAGATGTTTTGTATGACTAGATAAATGAATTGTATAGGGAGAAATCTTAAAAGTCGAAGTGTGGCCATACCACTGATTTTAAAAAAATAAATAAATAAAAATGCACTTGCTAAAGAGCAGCAACGTTTACAAATGCCCGCTACCATTCGCAGAGTTGACTCTTGCATTTTTAAGCAGCAAGAACTCCGAGGCCCATGGCAGACTTCATGTTGTATCCTGCATCTGCATTTAACTTTGCAGCTGAGAGCTGTTCTCGGTTTACATCTGTCTGACCACTTTTGGTTTTCGGTCTTTTTGTGATGGTTTGGTTGTGAATATTTTATAAATGCCTTTTCCCTAGATCTCAGATACTCAGTAGTGAGATCTTACTGCCATAATTCCCAACACTGTTCCAGTTCACTTGGAGTTCTTGATGTTCTTATCTTCCTTTGTGTGTTCTAACATTCTTGTTACTTTCTTTATCTAAAATAACCAATAAACCAATGGACATGGAGGATGCAAACAGGCAAAGCTCTGGTACTAAAGCAGTTTCACTTTCCCTTGTGGGGGGGGGGTGAACACTGTTGTTGGTCTGTGGCACCTGCACTTAATACCTGTTGGCAGATCTTTATTTAACCTCTGGACACCAGCCTTACGCAAATGTGCGGCCTTCCGGTGTCTGGACCATGATGCCCAGCGGCCACACATTTGCGCACAATTAAGAAAAACATATGTGCTGAGAGCGTGCATCCTGTGTGCTCCCAGCACACATGTCCGGTACTCACGGAAAGGTTTCGATCGGGACCTTTCCCGATCATGTGACTGCTGTGACAGCAAATCACAGCGGTCACATGACCTTAAAACCCCGCCCTGCCTCCCAGCTTCTGAAACCCTTAAAGAGCCAGGAGGCGCCAAGGGGTTAAGTTGCAGACACAGTTTAGGATATAGTTCTGCTTTACAGAATTCTAGAGCCAGGAATACCCGAGAACAAAGTTGTGATGAAAAATGCTATCTTCAAATATTCATGATGTGTAAATCTAGGTCCATGGCACTGAGTGGAATGACTTTGGCTTAACAGTGAACAACTTCTCCCTTTTTTGATATAGCTTTTTCGTGAAGCAAGACGGACTGTTCCTAGCATTCTGTATATTCCACACATTCATCTATGGTGGGAGACAGTCAGCAACACCTTGAAAGCAACATTTCTCACTCTAATCAAAAGCATACCATCGTTTTCTCCAATCCTCCTGTTGGCAACAAGTGACATGGAATATGGGGATCTTGACTCTGAGGTAATAAGTGTTCTGGATAAGAGTCGAAGTTTAGGAAAATAAATGGCTAGTGTTAATCCAAAATTATTTCCTTCTTGTCTATCAATATCTTTACCTTCACAGTACATTCCAAGCTTGGTTAGATCTTATAATTTGTGTGAACAAATAATTGTACAGTTAAAGCAGAACTATAGGCAAAACCACCTTCTTTCTTTCTTTTATTACTTTGGATAGAGTAAGGGAGGTTCTAACTCCAGTGAAGTTTAATTTTTGTCCTCTTTGCCCAATGAGGAGACTTCCCTACACTTCCTGTCACATAGCCAAGATGGGAAGTGAAAGGAAATCCCTGTAAATTAAGGGAATCTCTTGGGGGGGGGGGGGGGGGGGGGTCCGTCCCGGGGCCCCAGGTCACCAGAACTAGCGTCCCCATTGGAAGATTTCCCCTCTATTACTTTTTCTGAGGACAACTCCAAATTTGGAATTTTACTTTCAATGATAAGACAAAGAGAGGGTCAATCTCCGTAATGGGGGCACAGAGCAATAAAAACCTGACAGGAGTTCTAATCCCCTCTAACCAAAACAAAACAATTTTTGCCTCTAGTTATACTATAAACATTAAATTAAACCTCAATTAAATGAGGCAGAACAACCCTTTGCAACCAATCAGATATTATTCTTTTTTTTTTTTTTTTTTTTTTTTTTTATCTGCCGAGACTAAAAAAAACTTGCAGTAGATTGCCTTTGGCCATATAATGATCTTTTGAGCTAATGCTTATTTTTTATTTTTTTTGGAAACTAACAATCATGATTTTCTTTCATGACTGGTAGAGCATACAGATTCGGTGAAGCCCATACTCTGGGAAGCCTGTACTGCTAGAATATGAAGTCCTCTTTTGCACTATAAAATGCTAGTTGCCTGACTGTTATTCTGACCCAGTGGGTTCAATACATTTGGATATAGACCTGCATTAAAGAGGAACATTAGCCTTTCCTCTCCCCCAAATTTCCCCTCATCCCTGCTTACCTTTTACTGTGTTCACCGCAGTAAACATACTCATCTAGCCAGTAGATGCTGCATTGAGCTGGGAATCCCCCTCTCTGCAACTGCTCTACGGGTCCGACGCGATGACGTGGCAAGACTTGAAAATTGCTGTTTAGATGCTCTCCATCCAGTGACAGAGCTTGAGCTGTTTCCCAAAGAAGATTGGGCAAAAATGTCCCTTTCTAGATGTGCAAAGCTGGTAGAGACATCCCCAAAAAGATTTGCAGCTGTAATTGCAGTGAAAGGTGGTTCTACAACCTTGTCTATCACATAAAATCCCAATAAAATACATTTACGTTTTTGGTTGTAACTTCAAAGGGTATGGAAAATTTTCAAGGGGTATGAATACTTTCAAGGCACTGTACATCCTTACACCGTACTTTAAATAAAAAATGCACCAAAAAAGTGTATAAACCCAAATTTTAAACCATCACATAAACCCAAACTAATGCAGCTACAGTATTGCTACACCTTAAATGTCACTATATGATGAATACCAATATCAATCACCATCAAGCGCTATGAATACAACTAGTCTAATCAACAAAATCCCGTATGGTCATGCAGTGAGAAAACTTTACATTTTTATGTAAATAAATATATGCACAGATAATCAAACTGAATAAAGTCCACTTTGTATAAATGAACATGCAATCTTCTCTCATTGTGCTGTGATTTTATGTATTTATTTTTTTTCACACTTTAAATCTGTTTATAAAGGTGTTCTGTGACCCACTCCCTTTAGCAAGCAAACTCACCAAATCACATGGCCTCTATATTTTGATCAGCATATAGAGCTCAAGATTTCTATCAAGGAGGTCGTCAATTTCTTTCAGCTCACTCCAATGCAATGAATGGCTCCATTCAAAGTAAATTTTAGCATGCAAAGAAAAAACACCCAATAGTGTAATACCATACACACAAATATATTTAATAAAACATAAAGCCACTCACAAACTCAGAAGGGTAAATGCCATTTTTCAGAAGTACCCCCTTTGCATTTAATTGCCGACGAACACATATATCAAACTGGTTCTCACTGAAGTTGGGCTTTACCCTAGCCGTATAATTTGAATGTATTATAATATCCCTGTAATAGGAATATCAGACTGTAACCTCCACTGTGGAAGATACTAATGTAAATAGCATGCGTATATTTGATAAAATGAGAGCAATGTTACGTTCAAGATCAAGGAAACCTGGGCTAACTTGAACCGCATAGGTGCTCATTGCTGGTTTTTCTGGAAACGCTAGTTGCAGGGCTGTTATGCTAGATCTAGTGGTTCCATACTTACTGACCAGAAACAAGATTGTTGTGAGGGGGCTGTCTGGCTAAATCACTGAGTTCTCTACTTTTGGGTCCCTAACCAGAAACCAGATTGCTGCAGATGCAGCATAATGTAGTCAGAATACTTGGAGTCACTGATCTGTAAATTGATCGTCGTATTGAAGGCGGACAGAAAACTAGTTTCAAGAAGAGGCTGGTAAAGGCGGCATTTGCATATATTTTTTCTCATTTTTTTATAGGCTTTTTTTTTTTTTTTTATAAATGTGGAAAACCAATATTCTACTAGCCTTTGATTAATTGATTTGCTTTTCCTTCTAGCTACAAGAACTGTTTTTGGATGATTATGAGGAGGTTTTCAATGTTGAATTACCAAACAAGGAAGACAGGAAAGCTTTCTTTCAGGATCTTATTTTGAACCAAGCTGCTAAGCCTCCAACTTCCAAAAGGAAGGCAGGTTAGTCTGATCTGAGCCTTCGCAAACATTAAAGGTATCTTTGCAGCAAATTTACCATGTGTGTTTTTGTATTTTCTAATCAGTTCTCCAAGCTCTTGAAGTGCTGCCAGTAGCTCCACCACCTGAGCCCCGTCCACTTACTACCGAGGAGCTAAAGCGATTGGAAGCACAGGAGGAAGAAACACTCCGTGAGCTGAGGCTCTTTCTGAGGGATGTTACCCACCGAATTGCCATTGACAAACGATTCAGGGCTTTTACGAAGCCAGTAGACCTTGAGGAGGTAATTGGGACTCATTTCTGTATGACTTGCTTGCATCTCATGTATTCTGAAATGGGGAAATGATTGTAATGCAAATTCAGAAACTTCTCTTTCTTCTACCACACTGGGCACAGGCAGTTTTTCAGGGTTTTGCATGCTGGGAAAGCTTTTCAATGCACTTGAGCAGCTCTGCTTAAGGTGTATGTTTGGGCAAAATTAAAGAAATAAAGTGCACATTTTACATTAATTTCCCCATGTTTTATCAGTTTGAAAACACTGCCTGTACAGAAATACCAGGGGATCTGCCAGAAACGTGGCATGCTCCTAACTTCTGTTTTGGGCTGGCATCTCTTCAGATATGTAAGTTTGGGAGCATGTCTGCCTCAGTCTGACCTCCCAGCAATTGCACCTTCAAGAATAATCTGTCACCTTCAGGGTAATACTACAGGAGGAGTGGACACTTGAATACAAAATAACTGTAAGCCAGCCCAGGAGAGCATCCCCTACTACCAGGACGACCGTTATTTGCAACTGTCCCAGTAGGATGGATATCTTCAGCTCTGCTGTATAAAATATGAATCTATTTTTTTTTTTTTTTTAAGCATAATTCCCAAATTGTCTTCCATGATGGGACATGAGAAGCTCCTCCTGCAACAGGGACAGGAAACGCATCATCACTTTAAAGGATGTCCTACCGAACTCGTCAGTTATTGTGTTTACTTCAATCGGTGGTAGGAGGAGGCTCAGATCTGGATTCTTGCCTGTATTCCACCCACTTCCCTTTTTAGTTGTCCTCCTTTTGATGGTGGAACTCTTGCCCTCTTAACGAGCAGGAAGAGGCCTGGGGCCCACACCATTTTCAGTGCTTGGGGAAGGTTCATTCTGGGTAAGGAATAGCCTGGGCTGTTGTGGTATACTTTTTGCAGCAGCAAGGAAAAGTCCCTGCTGGATATGAGCCAGGCTGAGTTTCCTAGACTGGTGTTCACTGGATGCCAAGTCCAGGTGGGGAAATATCGCTGCTTGTTTCTGGAGCTGCGTTTACTCAGAGATGTGAGCAGGGCCAGCTGGTTCTTCTGACTAAGCTTCCTTGGTGAGGGGATGTGAAGGCCAGAAGACCATTTTTAGGAGTTAGGAGCTTTCCTCCACTTTATCCCTTGCTATGATCAATATAGGGCTCTTCGTCTTCTGAGAAGTCCCAATCCACATCCTCGAGCTTCGAGCAATTTGGCTGTCTCTGCAGTGTTTAACAATCCTGATGGGTGGAGGCTATAGTTATCCAACTGGTGTTCAAGTGGACAGCCATCTCTAGGTGGCTCCTACAATCATCCAGGATTATGTTCTGAAAGATTGGGTTCCACTCTTTACAGTCGAATTGCATTCGGCTAAGCTTGTGAGTGTTTGGGCTTTTTGGCATCTATCAACTCTTTTCCACTTCACACTTACTCAAGTTTTACCAGGTGAATATTATGGGCCCCATCTGTTGCCATCTTCAGGCCAAAAGTCTTTCAGGGCCTGTTTGAGCTACAGTCAGACTTCAGTTTTCTGTTTTGTTGGGTCTGTTGACTTTTGTTTAATGTGTTGCTCACCCCTCAGCTGGACTACTTTTTGACCTCCCTAAGGTAAGACTTTGTTCTTCAATTGACACCAAAGAGAGGATTTTACAGTTACTGCAGAAATCCTTATTTTTTTTTTTTTTTTTTTTTTTTTTTTTTTCACTGCAGGAGCAACCTAAAGAATGCTGTGATTTGCTCTTAGTAGATGAAAGGTTGGGTGTAAAGTTGGGTCATGCCATTCAATTACTACAGAACTATATTAATTTTTTTTTTTTTTTTTGTAAACTTTCTATATTTCTCAGGTTCCAGATTATGTCACAGTGATTGCCCAGCCTATGGACCTCTCAACTGTTATAAGCAAAATTGATCTGCACAAGTATCAGACTGTGAAAGAATACCTAAAGGACATCGATCTTATCTGCAGTAATGCACTGGAGTACAATCCAGACAGGGACCCCAGGAGGTGAGCTGCTGTATTGCTTGCAATTTGTTGAACAGACCCCCTTGCATTTGAACTGCATTTAATAACTATTTTCAATGAGCCCTCAACATCAACTTGTGAATTCCTCTAGGTGGTTGTACTAAGGCAGGGCTTGACAATTTTTGCTTTGAATCTAGGGGCCAGCTAAATGTTAGGAAGCTTTCTTTTTCTTTTTTTCTTTGTAATCTAGCATAGCATGGGTTGTCAGCACCCAAAGCAAGGTAACTTTTATGGGCAACAGGTTTCATGCAATGCGATTTGACGCATATCAATCATGGCAAAATTGCACCACGTTTTAGAATCCATTAAAAATAATGACGCCTGCTACAATTCCAAAACTCATAGCTGTGAATAGACGCCCTGATTGACACATGCGATTCTGGATGAGTCTTCAAACTCAGATTCGCATGACAGGATAGATGTGTTGCTATTGAGGTGGTTCACAAAGGCAATCCGCACGCATTGCGTTTTGAGTGCCACTGCAAAAAGTAGGATTGCTATTGACAGGCAATTTGGCATTGAGGCCAGTGGGAGGCAGTTGTGGATGGTTACGGTGGATCTTGTTTTTATTCAAATCTAGTCACATGGTGGATGGTTTTATGAACACCGCGACATAAAAATTGATGAAATGAGACATAAGTTCCACTGTTGCTTACAAGGGGTTTAAAGTAGTTGTCCCCTATGTGCAATTGATAGCCCCTGCGTGGGCGTGATTTGTTGCTCTTGTGTTAATTGTTAGAAATTAATAAAAACCATTGAAAATACAAAGTAGTTGGAAAGACTAAAGGTTCTATGCATGAAGGTAAAAAAACCTTCTCTGTGCGGCATCCCTCCAGCCCCCTACCCGGAAATACCAAAACGTGTGTGCAGCTCTGCTGCCTTGTAGCAGTAGTTCTGCTATAGGGAGGTTAAAGCGGAGTTCCACTCAACCTATCAAAAAATAAGTCAGCAGCTACAAAAACTGGAACTGCTGACTTTTAAAATAAAAAAAAAAAAACAGCCACTTACCTGTCCCTCGGTTCTGTGGTGTGTCCCCCGCAGCTCGTTTCACTGGCCGTCCTGTATTCCAGGAGGCCGGCATCTTCAGTGTGGGCACCCGGCTGTGACAGCTTGCGGCTTCACAGCCGGGTACCCACTGTGCGTGCGCAAGTAGCGCTGTGCTTCGTGAATGGACCTGCAGTCTTCTGGGACCTGTCACGTGTCCCAAAAGACTACAGGGAGGGAGGACAACTTCTGATCGCCTAGGCGATCAGACCTGAAGGGGGAGCGGGTACCTGTCAAATTTGGGTACCTCCCCTTAATGGGGAGCAGGGAAGCAGTTCTTAAAGCGGAACATCCCCTTTTGGGTGGAGCTCCACTTTAACATGTCAGCCTCTTCTTGTAGTGGGCAATATTGCAGTAATCCACCCTCTTTTTAGTGTGCAATATTGTTCCATGTCTGTGCACATTGCTAGTTTCTCATACCCCACTGTCAAACTAGGACAAATTCTAATCAAGTTTGCTGATTTTCATCAGGTCACTTTTAAGCTTAATCAACTTTTTTTTTTTTTTTTTTTTTTTTAACCCTCCTATTGTCCAACCTTTCTCATTCTAGATCGGATGATCCGCCACAGAGCATGCACTCTCAAGGACACAGTTTATGCAATGATTAAACAGGAGCTGGATGAAGAATTTGAAAAGCTTTGCGAAGAACTCCAGGAATCTCGCAAAAAGAGGGGTGAGCCGAATCCTTTTTAGTATCCCTGAAATAATAGAATCTATTTGATCTTTTTCCATCCCCATTGTGTTGGTGAGCCTGTCCACATGGAGAGGAGTCTTTGGTTTTATCCAGTAGAACGTATTCCCAGTCATTTCCTCCTAAAGGCTTGTTCACAGTAGGATACTTTCCAAGAAATGTGCTGCTCTATCCAGAACAGGCAAAATATATAGTTTGGGAAGATATTAACTGATGCCACCAATTTTTGAAGCCTTTTACCTCAAATTTCTTGTTCAAATCAAATGGGTTTTGTACCATGTGTGACCTTAACCCCTATCTGCAGTATAAAGAAAACACTTTTTTGTGTTCTCTTGGAACACAGTCTTACAGTCTCAAAGCCAAATTTAAATCGCCCATGGTCAAATCATGGGTTTGTACATACTCATACTGGACCCTACTTGTACCTGCATGTGGCTGCACATTCTGTATACCCTGCTTTGTACATTTGGGAAAGATGAATACTTTCTTTGAATCTGTGTTCCACACTAAGTAGCTTTTTACCCAAAAATGGTAACAGTCTTGATTTCTTCAACACAGGTTTCTCCTCTGCGAAATATGCACCTTCTTATTACTATGTGCTTCCTAAGAACACAAGTACACTGGATGGGAAGAAAACAGACACGGAACGTGAAAAAGTAACCGCAATGGCATCTGCACCTCCTGTCGCTTCTAGTACACCCAGTACAGGTGTGTTCTGCCTTTATCCTAAATGTCATAGTATACCATTGCAAGAGTAAGAATGCCTATGTATAGTTTTGCCTAAAACAGTTTAATTTAAACTTGTAAAATGTTCATCCTCAAAGTTGAACACAAAATCACATATGTGTAAGTTGTAGTAGTAGATCTATTTGCAAACCCTTAAAATTACATGATACAAAGTTTTATCCTCAGATCAAGCTGAACTCCAGTTAGATACGTAGAAGATGCAAATTAAGGCAGCCCTATATTTAAATTCCTTTGTTAATGGACAATGGAAAAAATGAAATGACTGTTGGGTTATACCGCTGAGTGTGAAGGAGAAATGGAGACTGGTAAACAGTTTATACATACTAGGGGGGGTACAACTGGGGGAATCAATGGTGGAGAAGGATCTGGGGGTTCTGGTAGATCACAAGCTTAATAATGGCATGCAATGCCAAGCTGTGGTTTCTAAAGCGAGCAAAATCCTCTTGTATTAAAAGAAGTATAGACTCCAGAGAGAGAGATATCATTTCCCCCGGTACAAATCATTAGTAAGACCTCATCTGGAATATGCAGTTCAGTTTTGGGCACCAATTCACAAAAAGAACATTGGGGAACTGGAGAAAGTACAGAGAAGGGCAACCAAACTAATATGAGGCATGGAGGAGATCGGCTATGAGGAAAGATTAGAACTGAATTTATTCTCTCTTGAGGAGATTAAGGGGGGATATGATCTCCATGTATAATACATAAGGGGGGATATGATCTCCATGTATAATACATAAGGGGGGATATGATCTCCATGTATAATACATAAGGGGGGATATGATCACCATGTATAATACATAAGGGGGGGATATGATCACCATGTATAATACATAAGGGGGGATATGATCACCATGTATAATACATAAGGGGGGATATGATCACCATGTATAATACATAAGGGGGGATATGATCTCCATGTATAATACATAAGGGGGGATATGATCTCCATGTATAATACATAAGGGGGATATGATCTCCATGTAGAATACATAAGGGGGATATGATCTCCATGTAGAATACATAAGGGGGGATATGATCTCCATGTAGAATACATAAGGGGGATATGATCACCATGTATAATACATAAGGGGGGATATGATCTCCATGTAGAATACATAAGGGGGGATATGATCTCCATGTAGAATACATAAGGGGGCATATGATCTCCATGTAGAATACATAAGGGGGGGATATGATCTCCATGTATGATACATCAGTGGTTCATATAGTGAACTCGGTGTAGAGCTATTCACCCTGAGGTCATCGCAGAGGACAAGGGGGCACTCTTTATGTCTGGAGGAAAAGAAATGTAATCTCCAAACACGGAAAGGTTTCTTCACAGTAAGAGTTGTGAAAATATGGGATAGACTCCCTCAAGAGTTCGTTATGCCCAGCTCAGTGGATTGCTTTAAAAAGTCCTGGATTCTTTCTTAGATACACAAAATATAACTGGATACTAACATTTTATAGGTAAAGTTAATCCAGGGAATATCAGATTGCCTCTCGGGGGATTAGGCAGGAATTTTTTTCCCTGCAGGAGCAAATTGAATCATGCTTTGCTTTGGTTTTTTTTTTTTTTCTTTATCATTTATCATTTTCAGCCAGACTAACTATGTATGTAACATAAAAGAAAAAAAACTGAAGGCCAACCCTGGATAACCCACTCCTTCTACCTGTATTGTGTGGGGTTTCTTTTTTGTGTGTTCTAGGAGCATATAAGGCATCTTCAACATCCCTCTTCTCTACACTGCAACTACAGTTTGCCTTGCCTCTGCAGTACCGTGCTTGGACCCTTCTAGACTGGACATTGCAGGGATAGCCTGGAAGTGACCTTTGGGCGCTGGGTTATGTGTAGGGCACTTTTCAGACTCTGTTAAAAAGTTAGTCGCTGAGCACTTTCCAGGTCCATTGCACGGCTATCACAGCCTCAATGTTCCTGATGCAGCTGACACCTTGAATCTTGTTGGCTTCTGTTTCCTAAACACTCTGTAAATAAAACACAGGAGGGCACAAATGCTTAGTGCATTACCACCGAAAAGGTTTATTGGATCCAAAGTCGATTGTATACTCGCAAACCTAGCAGGAAACAAGCATATCAAATATAACTCCAGCTGTGAGGCGATGGCATCTGACTTTGCATGACACAGTTGGAGGGCTAATGTGTATCGGGGGATTTGCCCCCTTTTACAAACATTTTTGCTGGTAATGCACTAGCTGTTTGCACCCTCCTGTGTGTCTTTTTTGCAGTATGTCAAAGATTACCCAATCTGAGGAGAGCTCCATTGCAGGGATACTATTGCCGGAGCGCTGGAGCGTTTGAACTACTTTTCTGTTACATGAAGTCTCTTCTGTCCTTGGGCTCTACTGGGTGTGGCAGTAACTCTGCCGTTTCAGCTGAAATTTTGTTACTAGAATCATGTAAGACTTTATGGCCTGAATTACCCAACTATTAGACTGACAACAGAGGCCTCTTTGGCCCTGCGCTGGATGTAGTGACCAACGTGTCAGGTGTCCAAATTTTGTTCCAACCCAAAATGTACAATCTTAGAGAGGTCAATTGAATTCCATTCTTTACTACTGTGGCAGGTTCCACCTGGTTTTCTGAGGCAGAGCCTTGCTTGGTTTGGGCTCATACTGGGAAGGCTACCAAGTAAGGGTCTGACAAAAGGGGTCCTGTGTGATTCAAAACATTGCATCTTACTGCTGTGATGTGATCACCTAAATAAATATTTGGACATTTTCTTAAAAAATCTGTGCGCTGATGAGATTTACTTTAACTTTGCTCTCATATTGTCACTCGAAGTCCATGTCTCCCCCCTTAATCAGGCAGTGTGGTTTGTCAGAGGAAACTATCCCTATCCATGCAAAATCATAGAGGAGTGGCCTTTTCCTGAAAGAATATTCTCTTAGGCTTTTTGCTGAAATGCTATCCTATGGAAAGGAATTTAAAAATAAAAAAAAGGTGGGGGGGCTATTCTGGTAGTAGATCCTACCCTTTCAGTCATAAACACCTCACAGTTACTATTGAGGATATTCCCTAAGAATTCTGTTAGGTCTATTGAAGCCCTCTTAAAGGCCTCCCTAACCTTGGCAGGTCCTACCTTGAAACCAGCAATTGCTGCTGTATCTATTAGCCGGTATGTTAACAGTGGGACATGGCAAATGAGCTGGTTGTCAATGAACTAGCTTTGCCCAAACCAATGATTTAAAGTATACCTAGAGGCAAGACTTTAATTTTGGATAGCAGAGAAGATTAGAACACCTGTTTTTGGATTGCTACCTCTGCCCTCGTTGGGAGATGTACACTCAATATTCCCTTCATTTGCAGGAATTGAAGGTAAATCTTCAATGGGACAGAGATGGGGAAAAAAAACACTGACGGGTTATAATCTTTCCTTACTCTATCCAAAATGAAAACATTTACCTACAGTTCTACTTTAGAGTGAGGGTAAATCCGATGTGGTTTTTTTTTTTTTTTTTTTTGCTTCAGTTAGTTTGCTGATATAAATCCACCAATACGATCTCCAGTGTTGCCTTGGGATCTCAGCCTGATACTCTGTACCCAAGACACCCTCTTTTGAGTCGATTTTAGATACATTCCATCACATCCCTCATATGTAAGCTTTCCTTCTTGATGGCGTTCTAAGGCCCCTTCCACGTGGGTTGCAGTCTGCTTGCTCAGTGGGAGATGTCCGTTGGTCCATGTCTGCCATACTTATACAGAAGTAACAGACACAGCCTGCTGTCCCCTATGGGTGGTCGAATGTAAACAGACTTCTTGTCATCCTACACCCGACTGCCATCTGATCCGTTCCGCCAGACATGTCCATTTTACACTCTCTGCTCCATAGAGGAGACTCGGAGCACAGGTCCGCCTGAAAAATGGACTGGCGGCCTCAATCAGCCTGCTAATGTAAAAGGGGCCCAGATGGTTTTTGAGCTAAATGTTTTTGAGCTATAGGATTTCAAAAATCCTTTGCGATCTTACACAGGGACAACCTGATCTTGAGACCAAGGCTTTCCTTTTCTACCCAAGGTGGGCTTTCCTTTTCTACCCAAGGTGGGCTTTCCTTTTCTACCCAAGGTGGGCTTTCCTTTTCTACCCAAGGTGGGCTTTCCTTTTTCTACCCAAGGTGGGCTTTCCTTTTCTACCCAAGTTGGTCTTTCCACCACAGTGACGATATTGTACTCCCTTCCCTCTCTCCTGCTCTAAACCATTTCAAGAAAGTGCCTCTACACTGCTTGGTCGTTGTCTGAGCTGTCAAGATCTACCTGGGCAGTCACAGCTTTCCACCAAGCTGACCTTTTTTGCCTTTCCTGCATGCACTCGTTAAAGACATCCTGCTACCCACTCCACCATTGCCAGGTGGATTAGACAATGAATGTCTAGGGATTACACCCATAAGGAAAGGGTTTCTCCCTTCCCTATTAGAGCTCATTCCACCAGATTGGTGTCTCTTGGGCCTTGTCATCCAGTATCTGTTCACATGTTTTCCAAGTTTTACCTGACCTCGGCTGATATGCACTTCAGCTGCAAGGTGCTTTTAAGCTGTTTGAGCATTATTTTTGTTTTGTTTAGGTCTGTTGACCATTCTAGTTGTTGCACTCCCCTCTGTCTATGGTTATAGGACATCCCATGGTCTATGAATATGGGTCTTGTACTGAGATAAAGTGAACTTTGACTTGCCTATAAATTCCTTGTCTTGGAGTGCAGTACATGACACAGGTGCCTCTCTTCTGTTCTTTATGATCTCCTTATTGCTTGCTGCAAAACTGAGGCTAGCAGTTACTGTGGTCAGTCAGTATTTTGGGGGACCCTGAGTGGGCATTGGGGCAAGCCCTGTACTATAGTCCAAGACAATGATTTAACCCTTTCCTACCAGGTCCGTACGGGTTTTACACGCACACTCCTGATGTCTGCAGTCACCA